CCTTAAATTCAAGATGGCGGCTGACGCAGGGGTGGAATTCAGTCGCGATTCTGAATTTACACTACTATTGACCCCCCCTAAAGGTTAGAATAATAAAATTGTGGTCCCTATTTTTTTCCCGGTTAAATGACAACCCGACTGGGCTATTAAATCAAAGAGCTACTTACTTTCCTCTACAATGACATTTGAGTCGGCTGTCAAAAAGCTTTATTAAATTATTTAAACGCTTTCGGTTTTTAACATGGAGCACTGTACCATTACACGTAAATAGAATAAGTCAACTTTGACTGGTAACACACCAACACGCAAATTAAAATATTTACATAATTCAATCAAACCAAGCATACCTTTCATTTCCATTATTTATGTATCAACTATGAATTTATTTAACAAGAAGAAGAATACTAACGGGGTTAATATAACATAATTTTATTAATCATGCCTCCAAACGATTTATTTTTAAAAACAATTATAAATCCTCGAAATAATACATTTCGATATTCCACAGCACGTTTCGGTAACTGTTTATATTGTAATGGCGCGATAGGATGTTACGGTCGATTTATTTATGTAAACATATTTTGATATGTAAATTGTCGATGTTGAAATTAATATTCCTTGTTACTGTAAATCTAAGGCAAAGAAATAATAGAAATCGTGCTCTACTTAGGTACATCTACATATTCGATAAAAGGGAAAAGAACTGGACGAAACAAATTAGGAATTTAGTGAATTAAACATCTCAAATAAGCGTCTGAAAAATCCTGTAAAAAACGCTGACAGTTAATTATAATGTATTGTTTAAGTACGCCTCTAGCGCTGTACGCCACTGGGGCGGTGGGTTTCTGACGCAACCCGATTTCGAATTACCTACCTGCACTTACCTGCCTTAACAAATAATTATGTTTAACATAATTACCAGGCAGAAACGTTTTTTTTCCATGACGACGTTGTCCATACATACATTTGTTTTATGGTACCACTATCACGATTTCGCGAAGATGGCCGTGGCCAAAACGGATTGGGTAACGGAACACAGGATGGGCTATTTTTAATGGGAATTTTGCTAAAATCGTGTTGTAACCGCTCGGATATACAGGGTGTCTCGTGTACATGGAGCTACCACAGTTTTCTGGGATCAACAAGCAGTTTTAACTAAAACAACCAATGTTGATTCGTTTAAGCCTTAGAAGGTATAAAAGTTGACAGAAACGAATGTGTTTTCTTCAAATAATTGTGAAACGCCTTTGTAAGATTTAACTGAAATTTGGTACAATAATACTTTATACAGATGTCACTCTATGAGATAGTAGACGAAGTAATTGGATTAACAGACCTCTTAACAACTCCCCCTCCCTTGTACTGATCTGCTCATAATTTTGTTGGAGATCATACTATAATTTCTATTTTTAACTTAAAAGTGAAGGATTTGTTAAAAAAATTTCCCTCTTTTATTAGAATACTAATGCATTTTCGATTCAAATAAAAAAAATCTCATAGATTTAAGTCAGGGGTACATGGTGGTCAATGAATTGGGGTATTCCTGTCTATCCATCTGCCTGATCACACAGGGGCACAAAAACTATAGTAAACAGATTATTAATGCATTTTTTTTAAGGAGACAAGTGGATTTTACCGTAGAAGTGGAAGTTGCTATGGACAACTGGAGGTAAGTGATGTAACTTGCCTCTCTAGGGAAAAAAGCGATTTCGAGTTATAAATGCATATTTTATGAACAAATAAATAGAAATATTTGATGAGCATTACATTTTATTAATTCTTATGGATGCATATTTATAGTAATTGTACAGTTATCACATTTAGTAACATTTATCAAATCTGGATAATTATTCTCCTCGCGTTTACTAATTGTCACATTTTTTCTCAAAATGATTGGACCGCTCCATTTCAGACACAGGAGGCTCAATATTATCTGACTGATCCATTAAAACAGCATGATGCGACGTACTATTAGAACCTGGAATTGAAGTGTCATTGTAAATACATCCTGTTGGCTATTTAATTTTTGTTACTTAAACTGTCAGCAACATAACTTTTTGCAGTTGTGGCTGATTTCCACCCACCATGTCTCTTGATTGCTAAGACATCAACTCTTGTATTAGCCAGTAACGTTGTCGATGTTCTTTGGAATGAATGGCCTGTATATGTTTCAGGATGTTCTAGTTTCAAAAACTGTGTAATCATAGAAAGGGTATATTCTTTCTGACTGGTTGGCTCGACTCCTGGGGCAATAAAACTTCGCAACCAGCATTTGCTGCATTTTCTATTTGAAAATTACTCATTTAGAAATAATAATTCAAAACCAGCAAAATTGCAACTCTTATGTAGCTTTGTTTATAAACGCCTTAGAAACGACAAAATCCGAACAACCAAGACGACTATGTAAGATTTCGAATAACGTCAAAATGAACTGATTAAGAAATGTCAAAAAATAAAACCTAATTATTTCATGAACCATAAAGGACTGTGGGAGCAGATAAAATGTTATACACCACGCAGCAGTTAAGTATAATTGACCAGTCTCGCACTCTATTGCCAGCCCTCGCTCCGCTCGGGCGCAAAATCGCCCTCGACTCGCAAATAACATTTAGGTACCTTCTATATGGTGTAAATAACTATTTCATATTCTGTCCATCAGAGTATGACACACCCCTGTATTTTGACCCGCTGAAGACGATGCAGCCATCAGAAATTCTCCATCACGTCAGAATTTTTCCCTTATCAAAAAAACTAGGTCAAAATCAGTGGAAACCTCGTTTTTTGTTAAAATAGTTAAGGTTTTGAAATTAAAGTACATATAGTGCTAATAGGATTAAAGAAAAACTTTTTATTCGTGCACTTTTTTATCAAAAATACCTCATTGTAGAGTTACAAGGAAAAAAATTTCCTTGAGTCCGTTGAAAGTCCAAAAAAAATTGGAAAATCAGAAAATCTTGAAACTAGAGATTCCAAGCTTTAAAACGGTTTTTTTTATCTCAATTCGATCATATTTCAATGACAATGAGATACATTTCTAAAAAAATTACGAAATATTTTTGTTCCCTTAATTTTTTCCAGTAGTGTATTAAAAATTTAACAAAAGGGAAAAATTTTTAGCAAACCCTTCACTAAATAGCGGCTATAACATGGCGCCCAACAAAATTATGAGCAGATTAATTCGGGGAAGGGGGAATTGGAATGTTTTATACATTTTCGTAATAAATAAATCAATTTTTAAATATCGCACAATCTAGATCATTTCTGGAGTTGTGTTTTAAACTTTTAGGTAAAAATTTGTAGATCTCAGTATTATCAAAAACCAGTAAAGTCCCTAAACCGAATCAAAATTGGACAAACTAGATTCCATTCGCTGTTATTTAATGAAACACATGTTTTTAATTTAAAATGCCGTGGCCTGGATATGCGTAGTATAGTGACACTTCATTCATGAGTGGACCTTTGGTTCACCAAGGCAGATAAGCCGTTTTCGATAACACCACGAAAAATGTCAAGAGTTTCCTCAGTTCCTGATACCGCCGGGTTAGCCCTGAACCCGTGAAAACGCGCAAAACGTGTCATCCCATGGAATTACGAAACCAGAAATGTTATTTTTTATATATGCGTAGTGCACGAGCGTCTATTTTTAAGGCATATGATAAAATTACTTCACAATTTGAGAACAACGTTGAACAAGCGGAATTATAAGCAAGAGTCCCTTCCCTAGTATACCAAAATGAAAATTCCAACGAATGCAAAGTGCAATAAACACCACCAAAAATGTTTTCGTTAAATCAAGATCTCCCTGGACTTTTTGGAAACATCGTTTAAAATTTGAATTTTGCTTAAAAACCACATACCTTGAAACATGAATACATACAGGGTGTCTCATAATTAGCTGCCAACCCTGAACAGGCCGATTCTATGATCAAAAGTAAGTAAAAAAGTTCATATGAACATGGGTCCGGAAATGCTTCCTAAGGGCACAGGGACCCATTGAAGAGGGAGGAATGGAAATCATTTTTTTGCAATATCTCTCAATCGCGTTGTGATAAATGAATGAAATTTGGTATACACAGCTAAATTTTGATGAGCAATTTGATGGACTAATCCATTTATTTCCACAAGGTCCATTGGGGTGGGTACGGGGGGGCCCTTGGTACTTTGCGTGTGTAACTTTTTCATCTTTGACTTTTTAACAAATTGGACAGCAAATTCCGTTTTCCCGAACTGTTTTACGTTAAAAAGGTACTCTTGTTTCAAATCGTTATCTTTAACGGTTTCTGAGAAAATCGCTCTTGAATTAATCCCACTTTGGTCAATTTCATAGTAATTTAAACAAAAAAAATTTTTTTGTTTAAATTTAATCTAATTTTAATAAAAAAATAATAATAAAAAATTAAATTAAATAAAAATTAATCCTTTAAATGGAAAAGAGAGGAAAGGAAAATTATTATTATTTTTTTTTGTTTAAATTACTATGAAATTGACCAAAGTGGGATTAATTCAAGAGCGATTTTCTCAGAAACCGTTAAAGATAACGATTTGAAACAAGAGTACCTTTTTAACGTAAAACAGTTCGGGAAAACGGAATTTGCTGTCCAATTTGTTAAAAAGTCAAAGATGAAAAAGTTACACACGCAAAGTACCAAGGGCCCCCCCGTACCCACCCCAATGGACCTTGTGGAAATAAATGGATTAGTCCATCAAATTGCTCATCAAAATTTAGCTGTGTATACCAAATTTCATTCATTTATCACAACGCGATTGAGAGATATTGCAAAAAAATGATTTCCATTCCTCCCTCTTCAATGGGTCCCTGTGCCCTTAGGAAGCATTTCCGGACCCATGTTCATATCAACTTTTTTACTTAGTTTTGATCATAGAATCGGCCTGTTCAGGGTTGGCAGCTAATTATGAGACACCCTGTAGAAGTGAATGCACAGGTTTTCTTTCTAACGTTTAAATTGTATCCTATTTCACTTTCATTTATTTATTTTCAGAACTCTCCGAAGAACTGGCACTGCAGAACAACAAAGATGCCGAATCCGAATCAAGCGAAGTAATTGAAAATGAAAACGACGTTGTTACGTTTAAATTAAAATACTTAGGTAAGAACTAGGCAAAAACTTTTCAATTAGCAAAAGAAATGTTTCGAAATCGATTATTCTCGATGCATTTAATTGCTGCTAGCAGTACGGGTTTCAATTTGCGTAAATTCCAAAACATATGTATCTTATGCGGATTTAGAAGCAACACCAGAGGTTAATTGACTTGCGTTCCTCAATTTTAGGTAGCACAGTAGTAGAAAAAATTACAGGAGATAGTATCAGCACAGAGTCTGTCAAAAACATAGTGAAGACAGCGAAGGCGAAGGGGAGGAAGAACCTGCAAAGGGTGAACCTTGCCATCTCCCTAAAAGGAATCGCCGTCATGGATCTACAGGGAAACGACATCTTCAAAGTCTCCATATACAGGTGAATTAAACATATATCTTCTTTTCTTGCATCTTTCATTTTTTCTTAGACATTTTCTCATTTTACTTCATCTTCTCCTCACAGTTCTTCATCTTCTCCTCACAGTTGTTCATCTTCTCACAGTTCTTCATCTTCTCCTCACCTTTCTTCATCTCCTCCTCACCTTATTTCATTTTATTTTTCTCCGCCTTTTCACTGTTCATCTTCCCATCTTTCTTTATCTTCTAATACCTCTTCATCGCTTCATATATCCCCATTTTGCGTCATATTTCTCCTTCTTCAACAGTCTTTGGTCTAAATTTCCCTCTATCTTCCAGAATATCGAACTGTTCGACAGACCCGACCCACCGCCAGATCTTCTCCTTCATCTCCACCGACTCCAACGAGACCATGGAGTGCCACGCGTTCGTCTGTTCGAAGAGGAAGATTGCGGAAACGGTCACTCTCGCCGTCGCCCACGCCTTTAGCACGGCCTACGAGGCCTGGAGGATCCTGCCCACCACGAAGGAGTTCCAGAATAACGCGATGAACTTGAAAGAGAACGAACGCAACATCATCAACCAGAAGGTAGAGGAGAAGGTGGACGACGTCGACGGCGGCAAGATTGAGGACGTGGTCGAGGAGAAGCTGATCGATTTCGATGAGGAACTGGACAACGAGGAAGACTCTTTTATCTTGGAGAGGCCTCCTTGCGAGCAGGGCACCAACAACCAGTGGGTGAGTACGATTTTGGTGATGTGTATCCGTTTAGTATTCACCACGTCTTGAATTTGTTTTTATTGTGTTTCAGGTGTGTTTCGAGGACGATTTCGTGAGAGAAACCCCTTCGAAGCCCCACTGCCAAGTAGACTTGATATTCGCTTGATTCTGTTCGAACAGAACGGAATCTAAGCCATGGTCGTACGCCTAAGTGTCATTTATCTATACTCTAAGATGCTAGTTCTAAATATGCAACTATGTAGTTAATTTTTAAAGTGCTTGTATCGGAGACGGCCACTGGCTGGCAAAATGCATTTTGTAGAGAACAATTTCGATACAAGTAGCACCAGAATGAAAAGTAGAGGTAAAAAGTATGTACCCGTCAAGTTTTCGGTGGCTAAATCTGAACCAATTCCATTCATTCGTGTCTTAAAAAGTCGCCGTTTACAATACAGTTGCATTAGCTTGAAAAAACTGATTCAATTTCCTGGTGTGGCTACCAACGAACGGGCTATCATCGAGCGGCAAAAACTTCGCGAAGAATTGACGATTTGATTGGACTTCATGCTCTGACGACTTCAGAAATAAACCGGCAAACTTTTGGTGCTATCTATTTTATTAGACTGTAATATGTAACATGATTTGTACATAAATAAATTAGGTAATAATAATATATATATATATTTAATAAATCTGACTTTGAATGTGTTATTTCCCGATGACGTTACAGAGAATGTTGAGGATGTCCAGAGTGCATCGACTTCGAATCGACCCAGATAATTGTTTGGCCATGGTTTGGTTTTTTTGGGTTAAAAATTACTCTGAATGCATCACTTCTTTAAAAGAACTACCAGGAAAATCCAAATTAGTGTCCGATATAAAAAACAAATGAAACAAATCTGGCTTGATTTACACAATAGCGTGTGATAAACAAACTGTTTAATTCTGGTGTGATTTAGGCACAAACGCGCTTTGTGAGTGTCATCACAGACCTAGATAAATATTTCGTGAGTAAATATTTGGCCCCTGCTTGTAACGCAATTAATAGTACATACATGAAAATGTATCGCTTTTATTTGATTTAAAATATTTATATTTGGCAATGAATAATGCACGATTGAAGAACTGAAAGTATCCCACTAAACACGAAACGTAAATGAAACGTTGCAAATGAGATGTTTTACTAAACATTTGAAACATTAACTAGAACCGTTTCTGTTTCATTACAGAAATGTAGCACTTGAAAACTTATTTAGTGAAACATAGCCGAAACGTTACAATTGAAGAGAGTTTGAAACATTACTCGAAACATT